GGCCGGCAATTGGATGGTCAGTAAATGCGCTAACAGGGGCGAACGCAGAGGCATCGAGGATGCTGTCCAAGGTCGCGACCGCCGAATCCCCTTTGACTTCAACATCCTGGCGAGTTGATGGATAGTCAAAGAACATGGTAGCCCTAAGCTGTGGCGGCATTTCGGCCATCGTTCGGCGCTTGCGCTCCTTCACATGCATGGCTGAGTCTTCTGACTCGGGAGGTACATCGCCATTCGCACTTTCAAGCACATCTGGCAACCACGCAGCTGATTTGCGGGCTTCTGTGGGTACACTGGTCAAGAGCTCTGAGCGTCGCTTGTCTCGGTGTGGGGCTGCGGGTAGCTTTGATAATCGTTTGGGAAGATTTAACATCATGGGTACTGGAGCTGGGTAATAGACCATGTTCTCGCCTGGTGTTGGCTGCATGTAGGAGATTGGCCGGATAGGAGTTGGCTGGCTTGATACTCTTCGGTTCGTGGTTTCGTCTACATCAATTGGACCATCCGAGTGCGGCGCAATGTGTACGCCATCGAAATCCGTGAAAAGACCTGCAGATTGCCGGTACGTATCAGAGGACGCTCGAGGTTGCTGCCCATTGTCGGCCACCTCGGATTCCTCGGGTTGCGTATGTGGGATCTCGACACCGTTAAGATTGTATTGTCCATCATTTATTACTCGAAGTGGTTTTGTAGATGACTCAGGCTGAGGCGCCAAGGGTATCAATCGGCTTGATAGCGGCGAGTCGAGTGGCTTGCCCTCCTGCTCTGGCTCAGACACCTGCTCAAGCCGCGGGCCATACGACAGCGATCTTTCCTTGACTGAATTCTGGTGTGACCATGATCCTGACCGCACCGAACCCCTGGGAGAAGCAAAGTATGCGGCGGGAGAGAAGCCACCGTTCCGAGCGACATTGTTTGTGCCCACAATTGAGTTTGACGCGTGTGAGCCATACTCATAGGAGAATTGTCGGTGCAAAGGTATATCGGCCTCTCTTTCTTCACTGTGTGAATCCAAAATCGATGAGCGTCTGCTGTGCGACTTTCGTTGTTCTACCCTCATCTTTCGCAACTCTTCTCCAATGTCTGATGATAGACTCAGTCGCTCCGCACTTTGTTCCAGACGTTCGATATTGCCAACGTACGCTCCTTGGATTGATTGGAGGTCTGGAGTGGGGTGTCTCAATACCGAACCCTCTCGTGAGACAGTGCGAGGGTTATCCATCGCGTCTTGTGATGTGTATGAGGGTGGCTCGAAATCTGCAGATGTGGGTCGAGATGTTGTTAAATCATGGTGTTGCTGAAGAGGTGATGAAGGGGAGGAATGGGAGGGAGGGGAGGGAGGGGAAGGAGGGAGCTCTGATTGCGAGGTGGTGTCGTGCTCGCCCTGCATAATGGAATTGTAGAGCATATTTACGGGGTACATGCGAGATTGCAGAAAAAGATAATAAAGATAAAGAAAGTTGCGCTGGTGCCAATTGCCAAAGTTCACTGATCCGCGTAAAGTTGTATCTTATAAAATTAGATATCCCGCTTGCCGGCAGCCAAGCTGTCAAAAGTACCTAGATTAGTACCCAAACATGGAAGCTGCTTCTGTTTTTATTTTCTCATTTGATGTTTCCAATAAGAGCTCTAAGCTGGAAGCCTTGGATTTATTTATTCATCAAGTACGTACGTTGATGGTAATGGAATCTTGAAGTAAAAGTAGTCACGTGGGCTCGGCGGGCCATCACCAGAGCAATGTTTTGAAGGTCCCAAGGTCCCTGAATCCCTTAGGATGATCGACCGCCACAACTGCCACTAGTCTATTTATAATTAGGTGGTGTGGGCCGATAAGGTCTGGTGTGATGGGTGGTCAAAATCCTTGCAAGCTTCGGCTTCCCATGACTCAGTGCATCCAATATCAAAATTCCATCAGAGTAACAAACACATTTCCCTCCAACCATATGACCTCGCTTCACCACATTACATAGGGCTACGTCTAACGAGGCTTTCGTCATAACATTAGAGCATAATCACACATGAGGAGTCTCACCTACTCTTCACTCGCTCGCGTTCAACTATACACGCGAAGTGAGGCTGTACCTCCATCGCTTTCACTCATTATAACCGTCACGAAAAGACAATCCACATATCCACTACATCTCCCTTCTCAATATCCAAACCACACCGAGGATCCCAGGATCCCGTCATCAAAATGGCACATTTTTCCATGAATGCCGCCGATCATGGAGACGAATCCTCCGACTCCGATCATAGGCAGAAAAGGCGCAAGACAAATCCAATGAGCCATTCCAAGCCAAATGGATCTACCAATCCCGGAGCTTCACCGGCCGCCAACTCCTTCGCCGCCAAGATGATGGCAAAGATGGGGTATGTCGAGGGTCAAGGTCTTGGGGCTACAGGGCGAGGTAGACTCGCTCCGATCGAGAGCCAACTGAGGCCACAGGGGGCCGGACTGGGTGCAGTAAAAGAGAAAACCAACCAGGCGAAGGAGGAGGAGAAAAGAGAAGCTGCATTCCGAGGCGAAGTGGTCGAGGAGTCGTCTGAAGAGGAGAAGAAGAGGCGGCGAAAGCTCAAGGAGAAGAGAGCATCAGATGGAACGAACGCAGTGGGCATTCCCAGAAAAGCGAAGCCGAAGTATAAGATGGCGGCAGATATGGAGGCAGCAGCGGAGGGGCTGGAAGTGCCAAATGTGTTGATGTCTCTCATAGATGCTAGAGGCCAGGATACGAAGCTCCTTACATCGACCGCTGGATTGATGAACTCTCAGACGATGGTACCGAGTGAAACAGAATCATCAAAGATTGCACGCAGGGCACGACGAGATCTCGAAGCATTCACCGACGAGTGGACCGCTTTAATGGAGAGGAAGATCTATTTCGAGGCTCAAGAGGCTCATTTGACCTTAGAGATTGAAAAAGACGGAGAAGAAGGAGAAAATTTTCGTGATATGAAAGACATGATTGACGCTGCGGAAGATCTTCAGCGAGTGAATCTAGATGATGATTTGGATGACACTTATCGATGGGAAGCTTGTACGAAGAAGTTCGAGTCCTTCCAGAGATCCAACACAGGACAGCCATCGGTATTGCAAGAGCTCGCCGTCGCAGCACTTCATCCTTTGTTCAAACACGAAATGCAGAAATGGGAACCGTTGAAATTATCACGGGAGCCAAAAGGCGGGCTGCCATATTTGAAGAGACTTCAGCAAGTTCTTATTCCTCAGCGAGAATTCAGTACCGAGCTTGCACTTCAGGACGGCGACTCCTACTCTATACCGCAGACTAAATCTACCACCCACTACGAAACTATGATTTATTCCCTCTGGCTTCCGCCAATGAGGTCTGCTATAACAAATGATTGGGGTGTTTATCAGGACTCAGATGCTCTGATCGATCTCCTCCAAGCATGGAAACCCGTTCTTCCTCCATTCATTTGGGCCAATGTCATTGATCAGCTTGTTGCGAAACGTCTCACTGGAGCAGTAGCTGCCTGGAAGCCACGCAACGCTCAGAAGAGCCACAGGAACTCTTCTAGGCCACCTCATGTCTGGCTGTTCCCGTGGCTTCAGTATTTAGATGAACAACATACAGATCCAAAAAGCTCGACAGGACTGTTATCCGAGGTCAAACGGAAGTTTAAAAGCGTGCTGTCTACCTGGAATCTGTCTACTTCTCTACCTGTCGGACTTGAGGAGTGGCGAACAGTGCTTCAGTCTGAGCTTTCTTCTATGCTCGTTCGACATTTGCTTCCACGCCTTGCCTTGCATCTCTCCACATACCTCATCATCGACCCGAGTGATCAAGATCTCACTCCGTTAGAAGATGTGCTGCGGTGGGCTCCGTTCTTCCCCCTCGAGACGATGGCACATCTGCTCATCGCAGAATTCTTTCCCAAATGGCATCAAACCCTCTATGTCTGGCTTACCTACGAAGGCGTGAATTACGCTGATGTTAAGAATTGGTACAGTTGGTGGAAAGAGCAGGTTTTAGGGAAAGCATTGTCAGCTGGGTTCAATGAATTGTCGTCAATCGCAGGTGAATGGAACAAGGGCCTCGAAACTATGAGTCAAGCTCTCGATCTACTCGAAAAGGGCATGGACGTAAGCACGCACTTGCCAGCCCCATCGCTGGATATGTCCTCTGAATTGAACCCGGGGACCCCTACTATATTAACACCGACTGCTTCAAAATCATCCGGACCACCACCTCCTCCTTTCACATCTTCAACGACACCTCATACTTTCAAAGCTCCACAGATCGATAATCCAATAACGTTCAAAGACGTGGTGGAGGAGTGGTGTGCAGAGAACGGTCTTCTCTTATTTCCTCTCCGTGAAGCCGATCTGCAGACTGGGCTTCCTCTTTTCCGCATCACGGCTAGCGCAAGCGGCAGAGGAGGTGTCGTTGTCTATCTCAAAGGAGACGTGGTCTGGGTTCGAGGTATTGCTACAGCAGGGACCGAAAAGCGTATATTCATGCCTGTGGGACTTGATGAAACGTTGGTGGCAAAAGCCGAAGCAAGATAACAAGATGAGGGGCGCGAGAAGAACAACCGTGGATTGTAACACTAGATCAAAGAGCGTGTAACGGTGAAGTATTTCGAAGAGGAAGAGACCTTGTCCGTCTGCCTCACAGACTCGTTCGGTAAAGTGATACCTCTTTCAACAGTCTCTTCTTGACAGTTTCCCCAAAAATATTCATAGTTGTTTCAGAATCCGAGAAAATGATAATCATTTGCTCTGTCCCACCTTGGCTTCTTGACCTGTTCGAGCGTCCCTCTCCCAGAATCTTCGACACCGATTCTTTTCTTCTTGGCACGCTTAGTTCCAAGAAATACCATTATTTGATTTCCTTATTTTATACATACCTATACAACGCATGCGCGCGCAGCCTTGTTCTTCCGTCCTACACCTCTCCCACGTGCCTTGATTATCTCTCTATTTACCATCAGTCTCCCAATCGAACAATCTCACACCGACCCACGTCACTACCGTCACCATGATAGGCCATCCAAGTACCAATCCAGCCAGCACAGCTGAAGCTCACCCCCAAACCAGCCCTGATGCCCACCTCCCGAGTACCCACGCCCATTCCCAACCCCTGTCCTCCCACCCAAAAAACCCCCCTACACCATCCCCCGCCAGAAAACTCCTTCCCACCCCACCTCTTCCAAGAAAATGTCCACCACCAACCGCCCGCCCGCCCCCTCAGTGCCTCGGTAGCACCTCCGACCCTACCCTCCTCAAGCCGGACCTTCCCCCCTACTTCTCCACTCATCGCGCCCACACGCGCCCGCAGCGACGCAATTCCCCATCCATACCACCCCCGCGCATCCCTGGCGCCGCACCACGCGGATCGAAGCGAAACACCACCACCTCTCGACCACAGCTGCTCCGAAAGACTCTACCCCTAACCCGAAGCCCTCGCGTCCCATCTGAACTGAACGACGAGACCACGACCCGACCCGCAAAACGACGATCCGGTCCCGTGGTCCTGGATAGCGAATCTCACACCATCAAACCTGAACACTCCGGGCCCCCACACTCTTCGACAGCCGCTTTCGGATCAAGCACCCGTCTCCCTCCAAGCGCCCTCCCCGTCACCTTCCTCACCCTCACCAACCCTGGAATCTCAGACCTCGATCGCGACCGCATCGACCCCGCCCGCGCCCTCGATCCCCCGCCGCCGCCGGTACCGGACCGGACCGTGGCGGTTCGACGCCTGGATCGGATAATTTCCGGCAACGCTGGGAGCGCGGCCGGTGATGATGGTGCGGAGGGAGGGGATGCGGCGGTGTGGGGGGGTGCCGGGGGCGAGGGTTGGGTGGGATGGTGTTGTTGATGGGTTGGGGTTGGGGGGGTGGTGAGATTGGTGGAGGGGGAGGAGGGGGGTCAGGGAGAGGGCGGAGGGGAAGGAAAATGTGAGACCGGTGGCTGCCGGGGCGGGGGCGGATGAGCGGGGTTTGGGGAGTGGGGATGGGGATGGGGACGGGAGGGTGGGGTTGGTGAGGTTATGGGGAGTTGGGGGAATGGGGGATGTGGGTAGAGGATTGACGATGTTTTATTATCCTTGGCTTTGGAACAGATTTGTAGTTGGGATTGCAGCTGGTGTAGTATTGCATGATATCTCAACAAAGTCCAAATGCACGATAATGTCTCCGATTCACTCCCTGTTCCGCGGCTAGCTAGGGAATCTCGGGCTAGGCAAGACCGTCGCGCTTCTGCTGCAAGTATGCGGCTACCTGCTCCGCGTTCTGGATCGGGTGGAACTGGCCGTCCGGTTTGTACCAAAGCGAGTCGTCACTGCTGAAGAAATTGATCTTTGTGTCTTGGCCAGTGAAGAAGCGCCAATTGATCGTTGTGTCTTGGCCAGTGAGGAAGCGCCAATTGAAATCGTGCGGCGTGAAGTCTCCGTTCAGCAATTTGGTGTAGGCCTCGTTGCCGGCGCATGTCTCCAGCTCGTTGGGCCGTGGGTCCAGGGAGACGAGGCCGGACATGAACAAGATTCCCGAAGACATGATGAGCCGGATCTCCTCACCCATTACAGCTCCGTGCGAGCGGTCCCCTTCGACGGGAATATGGCTGACGGTGAGTCCCTCCGGCGCAACGTCTTGGAGGTAGGCGAGATAGAACTCGACCCTATGATTGACTTGCTCAGAACCGTTCAAGCGACTGTAAGCCTCAATTGTTTTCTGGGAGAGCGCTTGGTTTCGTGCGAATGGAGAAGTCATTTTGGAAAAAAACTTTGCTGCTGAAGTGGATTGTCCAGGGACTATCAGTGAACACGAGGATGGGGCAGTGCTGATGGTGGAGTGAGAGAAGATTGGGAGGTTGTGAGATCAGGGTTGCCCATTATATATGTTCAACAAATCCCAGGATTGCCTTCACTTTGTGTTAAAGCTTTGTGTGGAACCGAAACCGTTTCGCCTGATTTCGAGGGGCAACGCCCCGAGTTAGATTCAGCTGTTGAGACCGCAAGATGTTTCAAGCCCGTCCAAGCGGAACGGCGCTGTTGCCTCTGTTAGACGCAACATTTGGGTCGTCTGCCTCATGTTTCGGACACGGCGGCGTGTCTTTATGTGCGAATACCAGGTGTTACCGGCACGGAGCCGAGCAAATGCGCCCACCATTGTGAGGAAAACACACTCGAGGCATCAACCCGTTATCCTACGATCGTTGAGTGGCTAAAGGAGCCTCAGATCCAGCAAGAGTAAGCTTGACTTCTATATCGAGTGGCGTAGATATTGGGCGCCAAGCCTGAAACAGCCGTTTAAGAATGTGTTACTGAAGCTTAAGGCGTGCTGATCCTCCGAAGTGGGCTTGTGTCTCATATGGAACAGTACCTTTCGGAGGCATTGGACCAAGAAACACGTTATATAGCTAGGGTTGTAGCATCTTGATTCGTGCACATTTTGTCGCTTCGGTCCTTCGTTCAATGTTTAAGGGTCGCCTCAACACCTTAAGCTTCGGCCGAAGCACGCTCGGTTCCAGCACAGAAAGGCGTAACTTTGAGAATCTAGCCCAGATTTGAGGATTGAGGAAAGGTCACAGCAGTGGTGGCAGCGTGATACTTGCTGAATACTGCGAAACGGGCTCATCGAAGGATTCTTTCTGAGCGAGCGGTGGAGACACCCTATAAAGTAGTCAAAGCTACTCGATTGTCAAATTGGTGATGGTTCCCTGCGTCTTTGATCAGAAGAAGCAAATGTAAAGCATGTAAAGCAAATTTGGTGTAGTTGAAATGACGTGTTTTTGCTGCGGCCTCGGCACGCACAAAAGTCGCTTTGAGCTGCCACAGTATGCTTGTATGGCCAAAATGACTCCTTTGTTGGGAAAACAAAAAGGTATAAAAGTAGAATAATAGAATATAAAGGCAAGTGATACATGTACCCACCCCCTCACATCCGGGAATAGCTTCTGGGTACGATGGGTGTCAGAGGCAAATTCCCACAATCAGCTTTACCGTTACCCCCGAAGGGCGAATGTAGTTAAGATTCAGCGCACCGAAAGAGTGTAGGAGCGAGTATGTACAGGAGGGGCCTCCCGAAGGGAGAAAGGATCCTATTCACGAGTCACGCAGTCTGTAGGTAGCAAGACCACGGCATTTGAAGCACTCCAGACTACGCCCGGCCCGACCAGCCCGGAAACAGCACCCGGATGTGAGGGGGGTGTCAATTTATCAAAAGGGGGTGTACATGTATCAACTCCCAATACAAAAGACGTGTTCTGCAAGTGAGGATCCGATAAGCAAGCACACTGTCGAGTCTTCCATGCCTGCAACTGTGGTTGACACTGTGTCAATCCGCCACCTTATGACATTGATCGAGGCGACTGGAACAGCTCGAACCGTTCGCTTCGCTGACGGTCACGATTTTTAGGAGTCAGGCCGGGGAATACTCGTTTTTTGAAAACAAGACATGTTGCTGGAGCACTATATCTGGACATCTTCCCCAGACACAGTGACATTTTCCGGCGACGTCATTCAGCAGCTTGACACCAGCGGAGCATGGATTTCCTTGGTCAGTATACGAAAGCATAATTCTTTGCGCAGGCACTTCTGATGTCTTGGACAAGGCAGAGAGGGCCGTCAAAACTTGGTGATGGCGAACATGGGGGAAGAAGTGTTTGTGTAACATGAAGTGAGGTCCAGTGGTCCACATGGCTTGGCCTTGGCAGGGGGAAGCGCCCGAAGCGGCTGGCGCCGATGCCTGACCCTTGCTGAGCTGAGTTTAGTCTGTTTCGTATGCAGCGGGACGGGAGCCAATGGCCTGGCTTTACAGCGGGAAAGAAGGGTTAGCGTTGTGACTAAAAGGTGATAGTGATTTAATTGTTTGCGCTTCGATAAATGATTGGAGGATTCTTACCGACCTCTCTTTTTTAAAGTCCCCACTTCTGCCTGATGATGATTTCTCTCCTTTTCATCTTATTTCTTATCTTACTTATCTTACTTTATATGCATCATTTCTACAGAAGGTACATGTAGAGGGAGGCATCCTGTTAGATGCTTGTCTCATCAAGTAAAGTAAGGTATTGCCCTGTTGATCATTTAGTGCCCGCTTCAAGTCCAGCAAATCAGCAATGGCAGCAGGTTTATGACAACAAAGCATTTCTACCTACCTTATGCTCCTGAACAATGTACTATCCGGCCCTCCTTTTTGTCTTTTGTTCGCTGTCAACACAAGGGGCAACATCACCTTTCTTTTCACACAATGAACAATGTCATTGAGTTCTCTTGAAGCTTTCTTTCTTTGACTAACCAATACTTCGACCCTTCCTCTCTCTCACCATCTTAAAGCTTCCACCATCACACAACACCACACGCGACACCGCAACACCACAGCCAGACCATTTCTAATCCTTATATACCTCACATCTCCAGTCCACGGACGCTCTGCCTCGCCTCACCCATCTGAAGCCGGTCAGACACGAATACCTCGCTTCATTCACAGATACCAGATATGGCTACATCAGGCGCTAATCCCACCTCTGCCCTGTTACAAGACATGTTGCGAGAGAAGAAAGCGCAGACACAGCGCGTGAAAAAAACTTATGACCCTACGAACGGACACAAGAATGGGCGCGACGACAGAGACATCCAGAGCTCCCCAATTCCATCAATGAGCGCAAGAGACAGGTTCGACGCACATTCTCGGCGCGGCAGTGGCGTTAGTGTCAGGAGTGTGACGATGCCGAAAGAGATGGGCTTCAGGGAAATGGAAGAACACATCTCGAAAATCAACAAACAGAATTTCGACCTCAAGCTGGAAGTCTTCCATCGCCGCCAACGGAATGAAGTCCTTGAGTCCAGGCTAGAAAAGTTTCAAGAGCTAGAGGCTAACAACGAGGAGCTACAATCTATCAATGAGGAGCTGCTGTTGGAACTTGAGAAACGAGATGTCGCGATCCAAGAAGCTGTCAGCTTGATCTGTGAGCTCGAAGCCAAGAACGAAGACCTGCAAATGGCAGTGGTCAAAATGGACTTTACACAATCGTCCAGCACATCGGACCCAGAGCCTGTCAAAGAAGGGAATAGGCTTTCGGCTTCACCTCTGTCTACAATATCAGGTATGGGGCCTAGCGATGCTTCCCTCCTTACTGATATTGGCCTCCCAACTGATCTACAAGTACCATCAGAACACAGCCTCTCAGCTCCTGACACACTCTCCCCGCCAAAGGCGAGTTCAGCACGCCGAGTCCCATCTTTCCTCCGAGAGACCAAGAAAAGCACCAATGTCTTACGTAGCATGTATTCGAAAGACGGGAACGCAAGCTTCGTTAGCGTCGCTCAAACCGTTAGCCTTTTCAGTGGAGACGATGATGATGATTACGTGGACCGGCAAATGACAAACTCTCCACGGCTCAGCATTCTCAGCGAGAGCGGCTTCTCAAGTATTTACGGAGGTCGCAACGATCAGATCTTTGGTGAAACAAACAACAAAGGCGAAGTTGCTGAGCCGCCTCTTCCCGAACTGCCAAGCAACCATCCACAGCGGGACACTCAACGCGAATCAAGATTACACAAATGGTTGGATGAGAGAAATATGCCGAGGACGCCTTCTCCAAAGGCTAAAGCCAATGACAACATCTCGTCAATAGGTGAAGTTTTGAGCGAAGTACCGAATTCTTCCCAAGACCGAAACTCCGCAGAGACTATATCCATAGTCCAACATCCTCGTGAACAGCGTACTCCTGAAAAGCGGCAGGTCAAGCAGGCTCGAAGCCCTGAGAAGAGATATGCCTCACCATCCTTCGGGGGGCCTATTTTCGGAGCTGCTGTATTGCCACCTACTCCGGACACGATGAGTACGGCCACGTTGGATGCTAATTCGTCTACACCTAGCATTATCACCGAAAAGAGTTTGCTTGATGGCACACCCTATTTAGCTAAGGGCTACTCGGCATTGGTACCAGATATCCGCCCTCAGACTTCCGATAGCACCAGTGGGTCAGCAAGTCCGGGATCGTTGAAAGACACTGCTCGGCAGGACATGAGGGCTCGCAGCGACGCGCTTGGCATCTCTGAATCTGACACTCCAACGCGGCCCTCGCTCAGAACCTACGGCACGGAGACGTCCAGTGGAGAAGCGTTGTCACCCACACAAGCATCCCGAACCCTATCATATCCATCTCCAACGAGCAGAGCGCGACGTCTGTCCGACCAGCGATCTCCTAAAAGCTACAGAGGATCTGATTCGAATAGCGAGAAGACACTAAACCAATCGCCGCAGGAGCGGCTGAGCTCAGGTAGCGCTGCCACCATCACGCCCATCAGACGTACAGCTAGAGACGATCAGCACTCACCTTTCTTCTCCCAAAATGCAGCCGCTCCATCTCCAATCACCGCTTTACCGCATCTCGCCGCATTTCCTCAGCCCCAACGCGCTTCGTCCTTCCGCTCCAGAATTGCGAGCAAATTCAGCCGCTCCATCAGCAACGTCAGTCGTATCCCAAATCCTTCCTCTAACCCTCAAGATAGCATGCCCTCAAGACCTCCAGTAACCCGCGCCCCTGCCTCAATTCAGCACGCTCGTCTGCCGAGGCCGGCAAGTTTGTACGGTCAGCATCCCGTCCCCGTTCCTAGCCCTAGTCCTACTTATCGTTTGAACCCAATGCTTCCAGAAGGCATGCTAACAGACCTGGAACGCTACAGCGCCGGATCTGCCAAGCACCTCGAGCGGCGAAGAGATCGCAGGTGAGAGCAATACGACGAATTGGAGAAGGCACAGTTATTCAAGTAGGAGAGAAGGGTAGATGGGTAGATCTGCAAGCACGAAGGTCAAGCAAGGGTTGGATTGGAACAGATAGAGACAGGATTGTAACACCACAGCTAGTGAACAAAAAGGGCCATAAGAGCCTCGTTGGGCAAGCCTCACTATGTATCAATACGACTGTTTGTTATTTTCATGCATGGGAGATAGAAGTAACAGCAGCTCGAGGTCAGCATGACCGCAATTCCCCGGCTATAAGCCCAATCTTTTCATGAAAGCTTACCTAAATGTCCTGATAAAACATCAAGAGTAAGGATTTCTACCAGGATTACCGCGTAGAAAATTTGACTTCAGGCCTAGATTTTGCTGACGCGGAAGCCGCGATCTTGCAACTCGACACCATTGGCTTCTGACATCAACAACATTTAATACCGCGCTTAGAGGTCTACACATCAGCTTAAACTTCGACGTGAGACTCTGTGTTTGACAGCGGGTGGACCCAAGACGCCAGCGTCGGAAAGCCAGGCCCCGAGCACGAGCACGGCCAAACCCCCTCTCCCCATCGTCCAGGGACCTCGTTGCGGGCCCATTCTCCCTTTTGCCGTCGTAGGAGTGGCCTGTACTCGTCCGACTGAGACGATGTGATCCTGCCGGTTTTCGGTCGACGTTTCTATAAATACCGAGGAGCCATAGCTTATTGACGAGGACCACTTTGACCACGGTCTTGTACGTGGGATTGGCCAGTTTCTCGAAGGAGTCTAGGAAGGCAGTGGGCCATGAGACGGCAGCATCAAGGCTCGTGAGATGTGGGCTGACGGCTTCCACATCAATGATGAATGTATACTCAAGGTAGTCCAGCGGGAACAGACCCGAGAAGCTCGAGCCACTGGATCTCCGTTTCCGCGCGTTGGAACTTCGTGCAGCTCAATGCCATGGATCGCTCACTATGGAGAGCGTCGTTGAGCCGCAACGCTTGAGACACTAGATCTTTTAGCAAGTCAACTACGGACGGCGTTTCGATGGTGTCCTGTTCGATAGTCTTCTATGCCCAGAGGACTGGGACCTTGGAGTCACGGAGTAGACCAATGGCGTTTACACAGAAGTCCTTCACATCAGCGGCTGGTATGATTGCCTTTTATCATTACCAACGAAGAATCTCTCGTGGCTTTCCAGGTCTGGAACTTGGGCCTCGGCCAGAAAGGCTCAGGAGCCGGAACGGATCTTGACCGGTTTCTGTTTCGCATGAAAGTGCAGTATTGGAGGCTCTTGACTGCGTCCATGCTACAGGGACCGGAGGTGAAGGTCATAATCTGTGATACCTGCAAGTCCGAGAGTCGTTGATTGGCATCAAGGTGGGCGCTCGAATTGACCGAACTGATATGCTATGCGTAGTATTCATGGTCAGCGTCAGGACGCTCTACGATAATCTTGACTTACTGATCAGCAAGCTCTGTACCTCCTTGAGTACAGCATCAGGGTTATTTTGTCTTCTGATCAGCTCCTGCATTCCCAAGTGAATATCTCGCTGTTCGGCCTGAGCGACAGCAGAAGCCAAGCCATAAACCGTCCGCGTGCATGCCCCTATGTCTTCAATGAGATCGGCTTAGCGCAGTTCAACGGGACGTGTTAGCGAGTGCAGAACGTGCATTGGCTTACTTTTCCAGTACCAATCCCGTGCTCGCATCAAGAATCGAATTACGAGAGCATAGAGTTCAGAGAGAGCTTGCTTCAGCCTTGTGGTTGGATAAAGCACCGTGACAAGTTCGATTTGAGGTAACGAGTCTGCAATTTGGCAAAGACCTTTGGCAAGGGATCGTGTCATCCTTTCGGGTTCACGGCCAACTGAGGAGGTTCAGCGCCAGACGAGTGATCTTCGACTCTGGTTACTTACCACGAACAGAAACTTCATCGCTGCCCATGCTAACGAGACATATTCTGGGTGCTGCTGCGCGAGTACGTCCAGGATGTTTCCATAGAATTGTACGCGACTTGAGAACTTCAATAACCATTTGTTAATCTTTGAGTGTTCGTGCGCTGCGTCGTACTGGGTCTTTGCGTCTACTACCGTACGCCTGACGTCTTCACGACTTGTAGCGCCTTGGACTGCAGCCCTTCTTTTGTGAAATCTTTGGTGACGGTCGAACCAAAGATTTCGACAGCTTTGTTGAAAGCTTCACGAGCGGCATCAAGACATCTGACGAATGAGACCGAGTAAGCAGGCATACACTGAAACTGGTTGGCCTCTTGATCAATGCATACGGTTTGTCCTCGTCCGCTTGGTACCATTGTGATTGAGATTGCATCGCAGATTCTAATACCTAGTCTACACTCTTGGAGAACGGATGCATGATCGATGATACTAAACATTCGAGAGCTGCCCAAAAAACGCTGGCTGCTTCGGTCAATGATGTTAGCAGCTTAAGTGGGCCGACTTTTGGAAGTACTCTTTCCACGCAGCTACCCACACCGCGGGGCTGACTGAAGGGTTAACCTTGTGCGACAATCGATACTCGGTACAGTTCTTAACTTATTCGCTTGCTCAAGTATGTTCCTAATGGCCGTTACCGGACCCAAGTATCCAGAAATGTGATACATTCGAGTACGCGACATTTATCGCAGCAGATACGAGTGCGAAGCGGCTCGAAGACAGCAATCGATACGAAAGTAACGCGCTGGACAATCGCCGGAGCGGCCGATCTCTCACTGTCGCCAAGACAGACGCCACGAGTTGTTTCATCCTCACACTATAGCGTCATAGCACTCGAGGACGGAGAATCAGAAAGAGAGGCTGAAGTCGACGTACCCGTAGAGGCACATACAGAAAGGGTCTCTGAGGGGGTCAATAGAGTGTCAGAGCCAACCCTCGACGGAGACCCCCACAGAGCTCGGCTTCATCTACAGGGAGCGTGAAAAGGCTGGAACTACCGGCCGGGATACTGCAACTATTGAGAAGAATAAAGATGTTCAAGGAAGTGTTCCTGCTGCAGGCCTCTCAGCGCATTTGACCATCTCGCAAGACCAGACGTCTGGTAGTCAATTGTCTCAAGAGAAATTGGCTGCTCTGTCGAAGCCACTTGATGAGGCAGACATCGCTCCGGTAGGTCTCATTTCGATACAACCTAGACATAAAATAAGGAGCGTTAGGGCCATCGCAAAGCTGCTGGATTAGACACCATAGCGGCACGGCCGACAAGGTCAAATTCTCCTGGGCTGCGGGATCCGTCTAGAAGGCGCCGTAGGAGGTCGCCAGAAATAGTATGTATTCCAGCGAATCGCTCAAGTGATTCGTCTTCCATTAGGAAGGAGTTGATTGGGTCCGCGGTGAGCATATCAAACGACAATGTGGAGGAAAAGTCGCATCTTGAGACATGGGTATCGGAAATCACCTTCAATCATCCACATCGCAATAGTAGGGGTACATTGCAGGAGTCCAGCCGCGCAAACAATCTCAACATTTCCACCCATGCATCTTCCCCGGAGCAAAACTATTCGATGGAAGATCTATTGAGTCGTCTAAAGAGCTTGGAGCGGGAAAACCATGAAGTAAGAAACGGGACAGCAGAAGAAACCTCGCATACGGCGCCACCTGGAGAACCTTCCACTACATAGACCCAAACGTATTTTTGGAGTCACCACCATGGGGCAGGAAGGTGCAAGAGGACCGGTCCTTTACGCAAATTCGCCACTGAAAAATGTTCAGTTCCATCTCGAGCGACATCCCGAGATTGCTTTCATTTTCTACAAGGGATATGATCAATCCCCACCAGCCGATAACAGCAAAAGAATGTCGAAGGACGGCGTGTATCGCATCCCTGAGCCATCGAAGCAGACACTGGTCCTAAACTCGGAGCATCTGATATCAGCAGTGGAACGGCTGGGAGGAAGCATTCCAGACTTTGCCAATTTCTTTCCGAATTTTGATCCGGATAGGGAGATACCAGCCCCTTACATGTTTATCTACCACAGCATGCCGCTATTCGATCACGTTATACCCCATTTCAGTCCCCTCGAACATGACTCAACAGCTGAACGAGAGCGTACTCGCCAGCCATGGCCAAAACACACGTTGCTGCAAAGCGCCGCGCAGCCAAAGGTATGGTCTCGAGACGGCTAGTGAAATACCTTGTACGACCAGGCGATGTGTTAGTCAGGACACAAGACGCTGTGCCCCACGCCTATGTAGCAACAACTTGGGCTAAAGAAGGAAAACCGGACAGGGAGGGTTCACGCAAATCAGAAGAAGGACGGCCTCTCACGCTCAATGCAGAAAAGAAACAGGGGCCGAGAAAGCGAACGTACAAATTTGAGGTCGCCGCATGGTCTTGGGCCTTCGACGGCTCGTTTGAGAGAAAGCGGACTACAATCAAGATTCAGCTCAAGTGGGTGACGAAGATGATGAAGTCAGGATAGATAGCCTGAACTATTTTCCTTTGCGATTTGATGAGGGTGGCTTGCATAAACTACATGAGGTTAGAGGGAAGATGTTTTGGAAGTGCCGCACGAAGCGCTTCGTATCCTATTCGGATGACGAAACCTTTGTTCTGGGTAGCGTAAGTGTGCGTCAGAAGCTCAATAACAATCATAAGGCATTTTCCATCATCAACTGATACCCTGACAGGTTGGCGAAAGATACATGATCGACATCGACACTTACAAGACGCTACATCCCATATTCTCAGCTATCTACAAACCCGCTTCACCCTGATATTGATGCGAAGACGATGACCAGAGACAAGCCTCCCGGCTCGGAATCACTACTCGTATTTCCACCAATGATCACAGGCTACAACCTGCAAACTAAAGAATGGCGTAAGTACACCATTCTTCGCCCATCACCATGCTTTCGCCAGCTGACTGTGCATTGCAGGAGACCTCTTAGTCGATCAGATCTCGGATGTCATTGGGAACAAGCAAGCCTTTGAAAACCCTTGTTGCTAAAGAGAAGACCAAAGAGCTTGCGCAGGCTCTCATAACCAACCAACTTGCGGCCGAGAAGTCGACGGATCTCATTCTTGGCAAAGGGAACGGCTTGACTATCCTGCCACATGGTGGCCCGGGGACTGGCAAAACATTCACAGCGGAAAGGGTGGCCCGAAATTGCAGAGAAACCATTGTTCCGATTTACTTGCGGCGACATTGGCACGAAACCTGACCAGGTTGAGACATATTTGGACTCCGTATTTACTCTGGGCAAGATTTGGGATTGTGGTAGGTCAAAGCTTCGCTATTAAAAAGGTCGAGATTAATGACTGATAGTTGTTCTCCTTGACGAGGCGGATGTGTTCTTGGAACGTGGCTTGGCAGATCTACGGAGAAATGCTCTAGTCTCGGTTTTCCTGCGCGTCCTGGAATACAACGTTGGCATCCACATCCCGCACCTCCAACCGTGTCGGCACTTTCGACGAGGCGTTTCAAATCCCGTATCCAGCTGGCCCTGCGCTACGAAAACCTGACCGTCGCTCAACAGAAAAAGATTTGGCGCAACTTCCTTGCCCGACTCAGAAGCCTTGACGCCAGCAGTATCGAGTTCGACGACGTTATGGACAACGTCGATGAGCTTGTCAAGGAGGACACGAACGGCTGCCAGATCCGCAATGCGATCATTACGGCTCGCTAGCTGGCGCTGTACCAAGGAAGAAACGTTCTGCTAGGAGCATTTGAATCATGTTATAGAAGTCAGTGGGGAGTTCGAGAAGTATTTGAAGACGCTGAGGCAAGGGTTGTCGGATGATCAGCTCACAATAGGGAAGTGGGATTCAGGTGAGACCTGGGGGTATCAGTACGAAGCAATGATAATTTCTTTACATAGCTTATATCCACACAATTACCTTTTAAAACGTTCCCCTCGACACAATCTCACCGTCGCACTCCTGCCCGCCCACGCCAAACATTCCCTTCAAACACTCGCGTATCACATCAAGCAGCTCGCACATGCATTCTGCAATCACCCCAGCCGAAGCCAAAACTCCCGACCGAGCTCGAAATCGAATACCTACCCCATCTCCCCGCCCCGCAAAGAAACGTAGCGCGGAGACGCAAGCCAGCAAGCCGGCCGACCGTGCTCACCTACCGCCCTCCATCCCAAAAGGTTTCATTCCGCGCCACTCGGTCACGTGTGTGCATCGCCCTTTCGGTTTCGTCCACGACGTGTGTGTGTGCCGGGTGCAGATGGGCCTACCCACGATCGAACGAACGAACGAACGAGGCGGAGCGTTTGTTGAGATCGCGATGGGTGACGGGAGAAGATGGTGATGGTTGGGGGTGGGGGTGACTATCCGGTCGGTGAGTGCGCTCCCGACCGCGTCCGTAGCTGCTGAGGACCTCGACTCCGCATACCTCCGCTTTGAATCCTCGCGCTGCAGGCCAGCTACGGCGCGGATGCAGGGCAAGGGTTACCCCGATCGACGGCTCCCCCTCGGCCTTTTATTTCGTCTGGATGGGTAGATGTTCTCGGATCCCCGCGGACTATCTTGGGAGCGAGATCGCGGTATGGAGCCGAGAGTCTTGGTCTTGCTTGGTTGGCATCCGCGGTGTGAAGGGAGGAAGGGAGGGAGGAAGGAAGGGAGGGAGGAAGGGAGGGAGGGAGGAAGGGAGGAAGGAAGGAAGGAAGGGAGGGAGGAAGGAAGGGATTGGAATGAGAGAGAGAGATGTTTTTCGACAGTGGGTCTGAGAACGGTTGGGTTCGTCCTTGATGTGCTCGGGATGCTGCGATGAGAGAGTTTGCGGTTGGTGTGGCGGTGATGTCTGCCCTGGAAGTGGATGGGTTGAAGCGAGGTCTAGGGGGCAGAGGATGGGATGGACGTACTTGTGTCTACCTACTTGGATGTGCACTCGCCAAAGTCCGGACCTTGATGTATTATAGTAGGAGAGAATCTTTCAAAACGCCGGGAACTTTTAGAAATCGAGGTCGTGTTGATGGTGGTATATGATAGATGGTGTGACAAATAAGGTATCGAGCCTGTCTTCCTGACACTATTGTATAACTCCATCGATACGATTTCAATTTCAACCATTCTTGAAGTTTAGAAACCGCGTTCTGTATCTTATACATTTTTCATTCATTCTATCATACCGTTGTGATGGATACCACACAAAGATTCCGAATTCCGGAGCGTGCATATCCACGTAGATTGACGTACACCGGCCGACGCCCGCCCCAGATTCGAGACGCCTCGCCACTCCTCCCGCCCAACCCTTTCACCATCCCATCCAGCTCGAAAAAGGACTAGCGGCTGAGCCTACACCCTAGGAGCGAGCGGCGGCCACACTCCCCCCCCCCCAAAACCGGCATCCCATGCGTTTCGGAGCCGCGGATCGACCCCTTTCGAAAAGTGGCGCTGATTGATCCGGGAGAAGACTTCCCCCCCGCGGCGTTTCTGGCGGGGTTGCTTTACTCTATGATCGATTGGGATCGGCGAGATGGTTCGGGATGGATGCGGTATTGAGGGGCGGGTGGAGGTCGTTGGGGCTGGGTTCACGGATAGAAGAAGAAGAAGGAGAAGGAGAAGGAGAAGGAGAAGAAGAAGAAGAAGGAGAAGGAGAAGGAGAAGGAGAAGAAGAAGGAGAAGAAGAAGACGAAGGGCGTGCTCGCTTCTTGGTGTGGCTGGATGCCCGAGTTTCCGCCGGGTGGCGGAAACGGAGGGAGCGCCGAGGAAGGTTGTTTGTTGAGATTTTTGAGCTTTGTTTCTTGATTCGGTCAGCCGGCCGTTGTGCTCTTGCTACCTGGTTGGGAAAGACCTTTTCTAGAGCTGAGATGGCAGTGGAGGGTGGTGTGGTACTGTCTCGTGACTGGGAAAGGACTCGACAGTTGCATGGAGGGTGATGGCGCCAGATAACTTGTTAAGCAGATACACGTTGGTACTGACAGAGGTAAATTAGATTATATTGCAATCGCCACCACCTTCTCTCAATAAATACATGACGACTAGCCAAGATGCTCCCCTTACGTAGCAAAAGCGGGTAAGTAATCCACCGCTGGGTATCTCTAGAAGTATATTATCCATCCCAAAGTCGTGTAAACTCCTCGCTGATCGTTGATGGAGACCTCCCATATGTAATTCTCCTTTCAGTATATTCATCAGTATTTTACTACCTTATCATATCCTTCCTCCTTCAACAACACTCCTCCCGAGCACCTCTATCTCCCCTGTCGCATCCACTCTTCGTTTCTCACATACCCAATTTCCACCTTCTTCCCTGTAACTCACACTTTCTGCTCCACTGCTATTCCTACTATGACTCGGCGCCCAAGGACTTTTCCCAATGATGGCACTCCTCCTCACCGGTGACGTACTGTCAGCTGGTGGAGGCGGTGGCGCACCCATCGGCTGTGGTATGTAGAGACCGGGTTGAGAGGTGGAGAGAGTTATGGTGGGACTTTCGAGCAAAGGAGAAGGATCACTGTCGACTGAGGACGGATGCCCGTTACTGGAGGAAAAGCTGTGGAAAGAGCCTGCGAGGTTTTGGTTGCTGGCGTTGACATTGTGTCCGTTACCGTCCGCTGGTTGTAGCAGCGACGGAACCATCATGCCTTGTTGGAGAAAGGTTAGCGGCGAGCCGCTGTTTTGACTATTGATGCTACTTTGCAGACTGCCGTTACTGCCATCCCAGGCTCCACGGCGCAGTTTCTGCAGTGCTTCGAGCGACATATCGTCTTCGGGAAGATTCATCAAGCTTGCTAATTGCGGATTCGACGGATATTGCGCCGAAAGAGGATAGCCGTGCATGGCAAGTGAGATGGCAGAGTTGCGGTTGCTCCATTCGCTCCGTTCCGTGATTGGCGTGAGACTGGGATCCTTGTTTTCACGGCCACTGTTCATCCTGTGGATACCCTCGAGCACTCGGGGGCCAAAATAACCACCATGCACGTATTCGGATTCGTTGAAGCCGGATGCACGAGCGAAGAAACCAAATTCTTGGCCGTAAAACCCGTCATCGTCGTTCTCGAGAGCTTCGGCATTAGCGGCTGCAATGATTGTGTCGTCGGCTTCTTCATCGTCGAAGCCCATGTGGGCGTCATCAAAGGCGAAATTCTCGGCATCTTCACTCATCCTAGGCCCTGAGAAACTGTTCACAGGCAGGGTCATTTGGGTTTTATATGCATGCATCTGCGCCGAAGGCTCGAGACCATCGTTGGACTCATGGGTGCTTGCCAGACTGTAGGACCGCTGAAACCGTCCAGCGAGCTCTGCTTGATTGGCCGCCATTGCTAGTTGATCATGTAGGCCCAGGTTGTCTTGCGTAAGACCAGCAGCTTGGCTAAAGCTTCGTCGCGTCGGCTGCTTCAGATCTGTTACTGAGTCCCTCAATTCGGCCGCAGTAGCATCATCTTCTGGCGATTCTGGCAGGTTAGGATGTCTAGGGTCATGATTGTTCAAGGGCTGGCGAGCCACATGAGTTTCTTGTCCTTTGGTCTGGCCTATCATAAGGTTGTTTGGGTTTTGAGGCACTGGTAGAGGCTTCAAATCTCTCAGCGGCAGTCCATACACTCTGCTCGTATCGTCATCGAACACTGATTCATCAAAGCCTTGATTCTCTCCATCATCGATGTCTTCGATCATTCCATCATCGAAGTACATATCATCATCATAATCTTGACATTCATAACGGCTTGGCAAACCAACGAGATTGCTTTCTGATGCAGTCTCTCGTGGCAGAGGCTGTACATTGAAACCTGGATCACTTGCTACACCAGGGACGGATTTCGGACGCGAGTTTTCCTCTTTCGATGGACTCTGAAATACTTCGAGCTGTAGCTGGGCTAATTTCGGTGACGCATTTAAGACTACAACGCCATTCGGCTGACTTTGGCTGTCGCGCAGCGTGCCCGGTGAAGTGAGACCTGTGCTCACAGGACCGGAGTCGCTGTCGAGCGAAGACTTGTTAGGTAGTATAAAGTTCAACTCTGGGGCTTGTTGCATGACAGGCAATTCGAAGTCTTCATCATCAGCATTGACGCCGGGTATCTTTTCCTCCAAGCCGTCATCGTCCTCCATGTCACCATAATCAGCATATTCATCCTCGTCATACAATTCATTGCCATCAGAGAGGACACTCTCACGTTGTTTCCGTTTGGCTTTCTGCTGCCGGTGCCTCTCTTCCAGTAGCTGTTCCTGAGCAGCTGAGCCTACGCCGGCAAGGTCGAAGCTGAAACGAGACGCGTTGCTTTTGTAGCGACGTGGAGATCCTGGACCTTCGAAATTCGGATCGGAAAGCGAAGTAGATCGAGATCGAGCTTTTGGTGGCGACATAGCTGGGTATGGTTGAGCAGATTCTTGGTTTGGAAGGGGAGTTTCCAGCACCTTGTCAAGAGGAGGCCTTGGAGGGGGAGAAGAGGTTTTCCGAATGGCGTCGATACTGCTTGAAAATGTTTGACCGGCCTTGGGGGGCACTTTCGGGGGCAGTGCACGTGCGAAAGCCGGCAAGGACGATGGATCTGGTTCTGGCCGAGACTCTTGGAGAGACATCTTGTACATGAATGCTGACGTCCGCCGTTTGGCGGGACTGTCAAGATCGTCATGCCATGCCTCTATGTTATCGTCAAAGTTCTCCTTAAAGACTGGAGTATGCTCTCTCTCGGTGCTGCTAGGGCTTTCGTCCTCTAGGAATGAAGAACCC